TAAGTCAAATCAGGGAAAGACAATTATCATATGATCTCACTGATATGCGGAATTTAAGAAATCAGGCAGAGGATCATAGGGGAAGAGAGGAAAAAATGAAACAAGATGAAACCAGAGAGGGAGACAAAAGAGACTTTTTTTTTTAAAGGTTCTTTTTTTTTTTTTAAGATTTTACTTATTTGTCATAGAGAGAGAGAGAGCACAAGCAGGGGGAACAGCAGGCAGAAGGAGAAGCAGGCTCCCTGCCAGGCAAGGAGTCCAACATGGGACTCGATCTCAGGACCCTGGGATCATGACCTGAGCCAAAAGCAGATGCTTAACCGACTGAGCCACCCAGGCATCCCATCAGAGACTCTTAATCTTAGGAAACAAACTAAGCGTTGCTGGGGAGGGGGTGGAGGGATAGGGTGGCTGGGTGATGGACATTAGGGAGGATATGTGTTGTGGTGAGCACTGGTTGTTGTGTAAGACTGATGAATCACAGACCTGTACCCCCGAAACAAATAATACATTATATGTTAATTTAAAAAAAAAGGCCTTGGAGGAAACAGGGAGATGGTATTCAAAGGGTACAAACTTACAGTTGTAAGATGAATAAGTTCTGGGAAATCTAATGTACAGCATGGTGATTATAGTTAATAATACTGTATTACATACTTGAAAGTTGCTAAGAGAGTGGATCTTAAATGTTCTCATCACAAAAAAGAAGTGGTAATTAGGAGACAAGATGGAGGTGTTAGCTCATGGTATGGTGGTAATCATTTTGCAATGTATAAATATATCCAGTCAACGCATGTACACCCTAAACGTACACAATGTTATCTGTCAATTATGTCTCAATAAAGCTAAGAGGGAGGAGGCCTTAGAAATTACTCTTAGGAATGGGGCGCTTGGGTGGCACAGTTGGTTAAGCATCTGACTCTTGGTTCAGCTCAGGTCATGATCTCAGGGTCATGAGATGGAGCCCCACATTGGCTCCTCATTCAGCATGGAGTCTGCTTGAGATTCTCTCTCCCTCTCCCTTTGCCCCTCTCGCTCATGCTCTCTCTCTCTCTCTCTCTAAAATAAATAAACAAGTCTTAAAGAGAAATTACTCTTAAGGCAAACTCTGACCCTCAGGTGACAGAAACCCCCTTTCCCAAGAATATCAGCTGGTAGATATCTATCTTGGTAGAAAAGGCTCAGGAAGGAAGGAAGGAAGGAAGAAAGAAGGAAAGAAAAAAAGAAAGGGGGGGAAAGGATTTTTTCATCAATACCAGCTTGTCTAAAGAGGGCTCAGCATCTCCGGCGGGATAGACTCTTCTTGGTCTTTCTTCATGGGGACACATCACTGCTGTCCTCCAAAATGGGAACTTCAGAGGACCCGAGGATATTCAAACCAAGGCTACTGTATTCTTTTCTTCCACCTAGAGATACATCCCTGAACTAATTTTGCATGCTCAGATATCCCTCCCACCTGCACCGGCTCCTTCCCCCAAAAGCATAATGCTGAAAGATGTTAACAGCAGGCTTTGTTCATCCGTGGCTGGGAGCCTCAACCAGGGACAGGCTGTCCACCCCCCCCAACACCCCTTGTGTTCAAATGCTTTCTATTCCCATTTTGGGGAAGAGAACATCTTCCATTTTTCATGCCATTTGACCCGTGGAAGTCCTACCTTTTCAATTGTTCCATTACACTGGGACACACCTGGATTCATTCAGCATCTGCACACCGTTTGGGTACCTGTTATGAACTTAGCATAGCATAATCAGAGGTAGCTTCAGCAGGCCGTGGGCATCCATCACAGCAAAAGGCAGTGGTGTGCTCTTGAAAGGAACACCAACAGCCAGAGAAGGTGAAAAATGGAGGATTGAGGGTGATATACAGGGCTGCAAGCCAGGTCCGGGGAGCCCAGCGTCAGCCCTGCAGCCCCAGGCATGAGCTTCACTGAGGTTACTGTGTGCTCACACTGCGCTCACATACTTCTGTGAATCATACTAGGGCATTTACAGGCTGCCATGTGTGGTCACTTCATCACCCCACCCTTCTCATTTCCTGAATCTTGCAAGGCTGTCTGGGTCCCGCAGAACGGCCTCAGTCTCACTCCTACCAGTCGGTGGAAGAGGAACTCCCACAGGCTCCCGTTGGCCCCTTCCTCCAGTCCCCTCCTCGGAGCGGCCCCGGACTTGGAGATGGATTACAGAACTCCCAGCAGGCTCCCCGTGGATCTGCCCTATTACCACGGCCCTCTGTCCAAGAGAGACTGTGAGACCCTGCTGCTGGAGGACGGGATAGACGGCAACTTCCTGATAAGGGACAGCGAGTCCATGCCTGGAGTTCTGTGCCTCTGTGTCTCGTGAGTAGTCTCACCTGCCATACATCCGGGCCCTTACCCTGAGTGTGGCCCTGATAGCGCAACGCAAAAGAAGTTGTATTTCACTCTGGCCTTGCAGCCCCAGTGAGCCGAATGAGATACAGCGAGGCAGGGCTTGACGGATGTGCAAGGAGTGTGTCTGTCCCAGCGCCACCTGCTCGCCCCAGCAGGACCCTCTGCAGAAGCAGGCGGGGGTGGGGGTGGGTGACAGCAAAGGGAAGGGCTGCAGGAAGCATGGAGGTGCCCGGGAAAAAGGCCCTTTCCTGGACAGGTTGGCTTAGTTGCTATGGAAGAGGCTAGATGTCCTTCATGAAATTGTAATCTGAGAGACTAAGTGTTCACATATATTCCGCCGGACTACTTAAAGTATGATTTCAAATTCTTTTAGGTTCGTAAAGAGCTCCAACATGCATCATTTCCTTTCATCCTCTTTAGAGCCTATCAAGGCCGGCATAAGCATTTTCTAGATGAAGAAACAGAGACCCGGATTTCTCGAATGCCTTGCTTATGTTAAAATGCATCTGGCATTTCCAGAGAGTTCAGTATGAAGTTCTAGCAGCAACTCTGCTGAAGGAGCTTGTTTAGACCCGGTTAGAAAACAATCCCCGGGGGGTGCCTGGGGGGCTCAGTCGGTTAAGCGTCTGCCTTCAGCTCAGGTCATGATCCCGGGGTCCTGGGATCCACCAGCATCCGGCGTCCAGCTCCCTGCTCAGCGAAGAGTCTGCTTCTCCCTCTCCCTCTGCTCCTTCCCCCACTCATGCGCCCCCCCTCAAATAAATAAATAAATAAAATCTTAAAAAAAAAAAAAGAAGAAGAAGGAAAACAATCCTGAACAGGTATCAGTGAGAACCCACTATCTTTAAATGCTCTGTTTGGAGAGATCACTGAAGTTTTTCTTCTACCTGCTAGAGGAATTAAAACCCAAGTGTCTATGGATATGCTTCAGTGCTTCCGAGAGTGAGGACAAAAAGGACCGTCGTGACTAACAGAACAGGCAGAGATCTCTTGGCTTCGTTGTATGATACCAGGGATGCAGGTAAAAGAAAGATAGCCTGAAAGGGTTAGCAGTTGGAACTTTCACGTTACCAGTGATGACGGGGCGGGGGGGGGGCAGTTCATATAATTTTAGCCGTTGGTAATTCTTCTTTTGAGAGTTGCACAGTCACATTCTTTACCCATTTTAGCTTGAGTTGTTTGTCTTCTGTTCCCTTCCCCCCGCCCCAGTTTCTACGTATGAAGGTAAAACATTTCTTTTTCCAAAAAGGACACGTGCCCAAAAGAAAACTATAGAACAATTTCAATTTCAATTAATATCCATTTTCAAGAAACTCCTAACACAACAGAAGCCAGTAACATTAAAGGAGAAAATATACCATTCTCAAGTTCGGTCCATTCCAAGAAGTCAAGGATGGTTCCAAGTTGGGTGAATTAGTAGTTTAATTACATATTAGTAGGTCAAAGTTGACGAACTGCGTAACTCGCTCAAATTTGCTTAAAGGGTGTTAGATAAAATTCAACATCCATCCCTCAATTAAATACACACACATACACACACATGCATGCCCTTACACACTCTTAGCCATACAAAGCTAGATAGATACTTTCTTAACCAAAGGCCAGGTGAAGCATAGGAGAATCGCTGCTAAAATCATGAATGAGCCGATGATGCCCATTACCAGCACTACTAGGGAGCATTTTCCAGGAGATATGAGCAAGTATAATTAGCCAAAGGAAATAAAGGTAAAAATTGAAAAGGAAGATGTAAAATTATTATTATTTGCAGCTGACATGATTTTATACCTGTGAAATCCAAAATTTAATTGAAAAAAACCTAAAAAGTAAATTTAAGAAAATTCGATTAACAGTATCTACTTATAAAATTGAAATTAAAATCAATAGCTTTTTCATTAAAAAAAAACAGTAACCAGTAAGAAAATATAATAAAACAGGTCATTTACATTAGCAAAAAAATAATAATACTCAGAAATAAATGTGATATGAAAGGTGTAAGGTTTGTATGAAGAAAACTTTAGTACCTACTGGGGAACTCACTAGAAGAGGTACATGAAATTAGAGACTCAATTTGGAAGCATATCAGTTTACCACAATTAATCTATAAATTTGGTATGTTTCCAGTAAAAAAATTAACAGAATTTTTTAAGTTTTCTTCAAGAATCATAAAGTTTATTCAGGTGGGACGGGGAGCACAAGGAACCTGCTAGAATAGCCAAAAATATTTTTTATTTAAAAAAAGGGGACTAAGGGCGCCTAGCTGGCTCAATCGGTAGAGCGTGTGACTCTTGATCTGGGGCCTTGTAGGTTGGAGCCCCACAAGACGTGGGGAAATTACTTAAAAATAAAATCTTAGGGACACCCGGGTGGGTCAGTCGGTTAAGCATCTGCCTTCAGCTCAGGTCATGATCGCCAGGTCCTGGGATCGAGCCCTGCATCGGGGGTCCCTGCCCAGCGGGGTAGTCTGCCTCTCCCTCTCCCTCTGCTCTTCCCCTTGCTTGTGTTCTGTCTCTCTTTGTCAAATAAATAAATAAAATCTTAAAAGAAAACTTAAAAAAAAGGAGTTTGGTGCTGACAGATCAATGGAATAGAATACAGAGTCTGGTAGAAATAAGGCGAAATACCTTGGAATTTAGCATATGATTAAAATCATATTTCACATCAATGATAATGAACAACCATGAATGGTGTTGGGGTGCTTGACTGAGCCTTCCGAAAAAAATACACCTGAATTCCTTTCTTCTTGAAGTAAAAGTAATTCAAAGTGGTTCTAATGCATAAGTTATTTTTTTTAAACATGAAACCACATGTACTAAGAAGAAATGATGAACTTTTAAAATATACACCTGGGGATGAGAAGGGCCTTTCTAAGCAGGATGTAAAGCCCAGAAGCCAAAAAAGAAAAGTCTGATGAATCTGACCACTACTAAAAAAAAAAACTGCTGGTAAAAACAACTTAAAAGACTATCAGCAAACTGACAGGATGAGTGAACCTCATAAACAGATAGGTGATTTTAAAAATCAATACAAAACTAGGTAAAGGGAAAGAGAAGGAGATTCTTGGAAACAGAAATGTGAAAAAGAAAGAAGGAAAAATGCTAGATCTCACTCATAACTAAAGAAATAGAAACTGGAAGAATAATGAGATACCATTTTTACCTGTTCAATAGGCAAGAATTAAAACTATGAAAATACTCAGACAAAGTTAGGGTGCCAGGAAGCAGACACCCTCATACAGGTGAACACAGTCTCTTCACATGGTAATGTGGCCCAAACATAAAATGCATGGATGTAAACTTTGACCCCAAATTCACTTATTAGTGAATAAATAAACCTACCTTGGCTGGCTAAGTTGGTAGAGTGTGTGACTCTTGACCTTGGGGCTGTGAGTTCGAGCCCCCATTGGGTATAGAGATTAGTGGGTTTTTTTTTTTTAAGATTTTATTTATTTATTTGACACAGAGAGAGAGAGAGCACAAGCAGGGGAAGTGGCAGAGGGAGAGGGTAGAAGCAGACTCCGTGCTGAGCAGGGAGCCCAACATGGGACTTTGGGATCATGACCTGAGCCGAAGGCAGACACTTAACCGACTGAACCATCCAGGCGCCCCAAGTGTAGAGATTACTTTAAAAAGATCTTTTTTTAAAACACCTATCTTATATGACCTAATAATAGCCTACCTTATCTTACTTATGACAGCATGAGCATGTGCAAATTGATCAATAAGAATGGGTAAATCCATATATCGTTTGAAAAAACCTCCAATATCTATGGTAAGGAAAAGGCAAGATGCAAAGCATGATCCCATTTGTTTAAAAAAAAAAAGTATGCCTGGGTCTTTGTATATTCCTATACAGTTCTAGGAGGTATATAAGTAAGAAACTTATAATAGCTGGGAAATTGAGAAAGAGTGACTTGGGGAAATTTATTCATTTGATAACTTTGCACTGTTTAAATGTTTTATATGTGCATGTATGACTTTTGTAATGAAAAAAAGTGTATAAAAAAGTAGTGAATCCCTGCTATCTATTCAAACACTGTGCTAGGCCCAGGGGCCTTCCAATAGGGAACCTGCAATTTGTTTTTCAAGGAGACCCAAAGCATGTAAATAAATTAGAAAAAGGTGAAGTATAAATTTAAGAAGAGACAATTTTATGCAAACGGAAGGGCCAAAAATATGAGCGGGAAAGTCTTCTTAGAGGAGATGGTATTTGAGCTGGGACCTGGAAGAGTGGTAAGATTTGATTACACGGAAATGGAAATGAATAATAGAAGCTTTATGTATTCATTCAACACCGGGAGGTATGTTAGGGAGGGAAGGGGGCAGGAACAGAGGTCTAGAGGCAGGATGTTTTAAAGCACACATGAATCATACAGGGTTCCTGAAAGGTAGCTTGGAAATTAGCTTTTGAAAAAGTAGGTTTGGGATAATATTATGGGGTCTGAGAAGAATGAGTCCATAGCAGGGAGATGTAGATGGTTTCCAAGCAGGCAAGTGACAAGACTGGAACCCTCCACACTCCCAACTGGAGTTTTAGGAACTCCAATCTGATATGTGGAGGATGCACCAAAGCTGTCGGATGATGGCGATTAAGACCATTGTGTCTCCAGATGGGAGATGGTGAGAGCGACGGGGGAGCCGGTAGTGTGAACGGGAAAAGAAGGTGCAAGGGATGTCATAGAGACAGGAGACCTTGATCCAGACCTCAGTGTAGGTAGTCTCTACTGGGATTCTCTTTAAAAATCAACATTTATTTTCAACTGTTTTGTGGAGTATCAACCCAGCTTGTGCGTTCTTCTAAAGTGAAAGTCACTAAGGAACGTGAAACATAATAATAAAATCCAATGAAGAGGGAAGAATGCATATTTGTGGGGCAACTGCCCATAATCAGGCCTCACCCTCTTCCCTGCCCACATCCCTGAAAGGCAGACACATTTCAGGTACCCTCAGGCTTAAGGCTCAGGTCAAATG